CTTTCTGTAGCCTCCAAGGGACCCACAAAGGCAGGTCAGGTAACTCCCCCTCCATCCAGTTCAAGTCTAGGAGGAGTGTTTGCAGGGTGGTATCCCCCTAGTACTGGGAGGTTGGAGGAGAGAGTCCCAAGGCACCCAGCTTGGCCTGGCATGGCAGAGGACTCTCCTTCTCCATCCTGATGCACCCTCCAGCCCAGGACTTTGGGCTGCTCCAATCTATCCTACAGTGCCATAAATTTGCTTACATTATATCCTGGAATGGAGGAGAAGGAGACTAAGGGGTAACAAAAGGAGACAGATTTTTCCAGTTCAGGCTTTTACCTCTACCTCCTTTGGACCCCAGGAATTCCTTCCTGGCTTGACTCCCCAGAGAAACTTGCCTGGAGGCTGAGTAGAAATGGGGACCCACACCCAGTTGATTTAGTAAAAAAAAAAAAACACCCAAAAACCAGGATCAAGTCTATTTGAAATTTTACATTCAACCATTGTCTCTTCTGGCTGTATTTCAAAAGGCATCTTTATGAAAACTCTCAGGTTATCTCTATTCTGGCAGGACAAATACCCACAGTGCACCTCCTATATTGAAAACTTAGAAGAGAATATGATGACTTCTCATAAAGGAACAAACAGTCATTTAAAGACCCAAAATAGGCATATGCCCTGGTGTTATAATTACAAAGTCTCTAAGCATTTTACTTATGAGCTAAGCTTAATGCATCGATTCAAGGTTCATTTCAGGTCGCCTGTTTCAACTCCATTTAAAAAGCTCTCTGTGAGACCATTCAGTGTTTTTCCTTCTCATTTCCCCCTCCCTCCTCCAAATAGGAAGAGAGGGATTCTGGATGAGCATACAAGTAGAGGTTTGGGAAAGTGAGAGAATTCGTAAGCTAAACTTCTTTCAGTATTCAGGTTCTTAAGTCCAGGCAATTTGGAAAGAGGGATGGGCATTTAGAAATCTTCCAGTATTGGCCCATGGTCATGGATTCCAGCTGCCTGGACCCAGCCTAGGGAAGGTCAAACCCTGCCTGAAAAACAGGCCTGCCAGGGGAGAGAGGGGGTTTGAGGGGCCAGCTGTTTTGGCCCCTTTAGGGTAAGGGGGGGGCTGACCTTGCTGGGACTTAGGCCTTCACCTTGGCAGCCTTTCTCGGCTCCACCAAACCTCCTGCAAGGACGTATGGGTAATTGGATTTTTAAAATGAGTGTTTCTGAGTAGGTTTTAATTAAATTTTATATGGTGACTCAAAGGTTATCTTTGGGAGAGAAAATTGCGCTGCGGATTCGCCATACCCTGAGCGCTCTTTTGTACAGCTCCCCACTCCACTAGCGCGTTTGTTGTTGTTGTTTTGGTTTGGGGTTTTTTTTTTTCTGAGAAGTGTTTCGTCCTTCCTCAGTTTCTCCTCCCCCTGACATCTGCCTCTCCCTCCCCAGCTCGGTCTTCCACTCCCCCACCCCCCAGCCCACAGGCCTTCCTTACCTCCAGCATCCCTCGCTCGCTTTCTTCTCTCTGCCCGCACACAGC